CACACACACACACACACACACACACAGAAGAGCCTTTATAGGACCAGCACTAAAGGATTATTTGCACAATGGCCTTTTGCACTTCAGTGGGGGGCAGCCGGCACATTCGGCTCTCAGCAGGGTCATAAACACCAGACTCTCGGGCCGAGCACAGAGGGTGGTGGGGGCACACACATGTCAGTCTGTGTTCATGCAGTATAACTACATAGAGAAGGATGCAACACTGGAGGTGATGAAGGTTGAAATACACATTTTTCACACGGACTTTCATCAAACCAGCAGAGCAAACAGACTCAGGAGGACTTGTAACCGTCAGTCAGATCCATTCACGTCAGAACACAGTTGTCAGACATTCATATAGCTCCAGACGCCTGCACTTAAGTATCCGCCCAACAGCTTGCACTTTCCTCCACCACAATGACAACGTCTCCTTAACAAGTGACTGAAACGACCAAACTGGATTCTGCTGGGCAGACACCAGAAACCCAACTCAATCACTTCCTGCGATCCCAGAAAGCCACAGGGCCCCATAGGACACTCGAGTCCTCCTCTCGAATCCCTTTATTTCCTGCAGACTAGACTCAGAGGGAGAGAGGGGAGGAAGGAAGGGCACTCTCCCGACAGCACCCAAACACTGTAGACAGCTCAGAGGGAGGCAGAGAGGGAGGGAGGGAGGGAGGGAGGGAGGAGGCATGTAGCATCTCCTCCTGCACTTTCACCCATAAATCAAACATTTCCTCTCAGTCTCTGTGTCTCCTTCTCTCTCGTGGCTGCAGGTAAACATGATCCACAGTTCTCTCTTCTCCTTACAACTGATGAGCACGGCTCTGGTGCATGTTACCCAAAGAGTTTTTCTCTGTGCGAGAAATTACAAACATCATTGAAATGACAGTTGTTGCTCACGCAACTTTAAAGAGCATCATTTATACACATATAAAAAATGTTAAAATATATATATATGCATGTCTGGGTATTAACATTTTTGTGGAATGACGGCACATGAGGGATGAACTTTTTTAAAAATCCCTGACTTGATAAAAGGCAGATGTCTTGATGGAAATCCATGACGACTGATATCTTTTCCAGAGTTTTGTCACGAGCGAGAAAGTCGCTCAAACGTCTGCTCTATTCGCAGCAACTTCAGTTAGAACAGTAACTGAACCAAAGAGGCAGTAGATCATCTATTACAGTTGTCATGTATTGAGAATGGATTGAAGAAGGCTCGGGTTAAACCTTAGACGCAATTTGTAAAGAAGCTATGAAGAAGGTAAAAAAAACACAGCATTTATTTATGTAGAATATTCTTTATCTAACTTTTTACTGAATAATAAAGTCGCAATAATTTATTTTGGCACAAAAAATACACATTTCCTGGTTTTGATGTGAAGTAATTACCTTACTGGTTATTATCCTCTCAGAATAAATATACAATAGAAATTTCACGCAGCAGATTTTCACACATCTGGGCATAATCATGCACATGACAAAATTCCTACATCAACAACAAATGTGTGGTGCCAGGCTGCATTTTTTATACGGTTTTTCAGAGAGAAAAAAAAAAAAAGCAAAAAGGAATACAAAATCCCAAACACGTTCTTTGATCCATCAGAACAGGAAAAAAAAAAGAAACCTGATCTCTCGGTCGATGCATTCCGTCTCTCTCTGCACGGAGGAGGAATGAGGTCAGGCAGAGGAGGCCCACCAAGGCACCCATACACTGCTCCACCTTTGTGGAGCAAAGGCCTTTGGGTAATTCTACGGCTATCGCAGCATAGTATGTGTTTGAACAGCTGCACAGGGGAAGAAATTCCCAACACGTGCATCCATGCACACAGGCATGTACCAAGAGCCGACGCACAAAGCAACGCACACAAACCTACACAGATGGACACACACACACACACAGTTCATTCATTCATTGACTTGGGCATCAAATTTATGCTCCGTCTCATGGACGTAAGACGCTCCTCAGCTACAGACACAGCAGCCTTGGTTTCCACTCTGCTATCTGATGTCTGGCCAAAGCCAGCTTTGTGACGGATTGTGTGCTAAAACGCCTTTATGATCAAAACCTCTGCGGGGCTGAGGAATTTGAATTTTTGTGTGGAAAGACAGACTGTGGGGGAGTGTGCTGTTTATGTATTCCTGTGTGTGCGAGTGCTGAACCTCTACAGGTGGTGAACACACCTTGGCACAGGATCCCGGTGTAAAACACTGACTGAGGGGGAGGTAACGTGAGCAAGTCTGTGAATGTCTGAGTGTGTGTGTGTGTGTACTTGTGTGTTCCTGTCTGTGTGAAGCAGGGATACTGGCACGAAGCCCGAGTCTTACCTGACATTCTGACTTTCGATGCCTCCTCGAGAACCATTAGGGCTTGGACTACAAGACACAAAACAAAGACAGAAAATAAATCTCTCTGTTTTTACATCCGGACTAAATTATTTCCCTGAGGTTGTTGTACAACTCACTTTAGGACTAGGTGCAGGTTGGCAGAGAGGCGTGGGTCTGTGAACTGTGTGGTTCTGTTATTGTGGTCGACAAAGTAAACTCTCCCGGTGGCAGTGTTGCGGATCTCCCATCCCGGAGGTAAAGGACCCAGTTCCTCACAGTTCACATTGCTCAGATCTCTGAGGTACAAAAGAGGAGATCACGACGATTAAAGACAACCGAAGAACAATAGAGGCAACAAATGGAAAAGAGACGCACACATGAAATAAGATAGAAAACATACCAAAGCACTGACTAACCGGACTCAGACGGACTTGCAGGAGTCCGAGATGTCTGAGAAATCACTTTTATTCTATTTTTCTTCTTCCTCCCATCTAAATTATTTACTGCTGCCCTGCAAACCCTTTCAGCTGGACTCCATGGAGACATTACAGCAGGCTCACTATGCTGGCGCTGACTTTTCTGTTTCACATGGTTAAAGCCAAAGGGACCAGAGCCTCACGAGGGATCAGAGCTTGGCAGCTGAGCCATCTACTAATGTTGGAGCTGTCTGAGGAGCACTCAGTGAGGTGTGGCGTGACCAATAGCCTCCTATCAAAAGCCATAAAAACATAATCTATCACTCACATGCTGATAGAATGCAAGAGAGCGGTGGCCAGGTATCATTATAACAGACATGTTTTATTGATAGCGTCTGGAGTGTACCGAGTCTCGTTTCTGCAGAATTGCCCAACAGCCTCTGGTATGGCTGACTGAGGCCTGTGTGCTGCTGGCCATGTGTCCTGAAGTAATGCCTTTCAACGCTCGTGCCAGACGACTGAATCTCTCTCAGAGGCCCATGACATGGGTCTTCTCACAGCATGTCAGACTCATAATCAGCTGCAGGTTTACGACAAAGCACACAGCAACCGGGGCTAAGAGACTGCCACGAGACAAGCTACGGGTAATGCGAGTCAGTCAGAGTTATGTCAGTGTCAATACGCCAGATGTCACACTAATTCCTTATTCATGAATTTGAGATATTTTACAGTATTTATTGTGGATAGTATAAAAGAAAACGTGTTTAGTTGTCGGTATCTGACAACGTCGTGCTCTGTGGCAGACATACCTGGGTACTCGGGGGTCGTGCCACGTGCTGACACCTGTCTGAGTGTGGAGGAAGTACACTTGGCCTTGCTGCGTGGTCCTTTGCTCTGTGACACACAAACATTTGGTTAATCAACGGAAAACTTGGGGATCCTTAGTATTAACACATTTACAAAAGGAAGAAACTACAACAGCAACAACTTGAGCATCGAATGTTGTGTCAAATGTCAAACATATATGGAAAATGAAACCGAGCTTAATTCATGTGCCACATGTAGACGGAGCGTGCTAATAATCTGTCTGCGTAAGAGAGAGATCACACAGACGGAGATAAAAAGGGCTGCCTGAGTCAGTGGAGATCCCAAACGGCAGCCAGGAAGAGGCAGGGAGCGTGAGGGGAGGAGGGGAGGTGAGAGACAGGGTGAAGAACATTGGAGAGGAAAGACGAGGGGAGAGATGGGGGTGTCTGACTTTTGAGTTGGTGAGCTCATTCATCACAGCCTGACAGAGATATTTCCATCGAGCTGCCTGCCAGCAAGCTCTTCTCTGGCATTTCTTTGGACCTACTACCCCGCTTTAACATGCATGTACACATAACCTTCCAAACCCGCGCGATGAGTGCGCGCCATACGTTCAGCTCACAGAGTGACATATCTTGGCTTGTGTGAGCTCACATGAGGAGACCCTGGAGCTGCTGACAGGTTTTATAGGAACTGCCCAAGCAATAAGGAAGCAAGACAGAGAAAGAGAGGGCGAGAGATATAAAGAGACAAGCACTGTGAGGCTCGGAGCAGCCTAATCTGCGGGACCGAGGGCAAAGCTGTGATATGCTTCCACGGATCCGACTCCCAAATCCTCCACAGCATTTTACTGTGAGGATAAACAAAGCTCCCTGCGGATCTGTGGAGATTGCAGAGTGTGTGTGAGTGTTTGCTTTTACATGAATGAGTCCGATTGTCTGTGTGCAGAACTGAGAACAGAGGAGGGAGTGAACGGCTGCCGCCAGCCTTTAACTGCTAGATCAATTCAATTAGATCGTCTAAAATGGAGCCAGTATTTCAGGCTCCTTGTGCGGAGCTGCAGCGTCATCACAGCAGCTGGACTGGATGAGGACACAGACTAGCCGGGTTACTGAGCCCTGCGTTGAGCAAGTGCGAGGGCGGAGATGAAAAAATTAACACAACAGCATTAGAATGATGCATTACAATTCCTCCCACAGTCCAAAGACATGCAGATTGGGGACGAGGTTGATCGGAGAATATTAATTAATTAAAAGTAGGTGTGAATGTGAGAGTAAATTCGTGTCTGCACGTTGGTGGAGTTGGGTTCCCACTAACCATATCCCTCAGGCAGATCCGGGGGCGTGTGCAGGTGGGTTCTGCTCATGTAGTTGCGGTGCCTTTGCGAGCGGACCCGTCTCTCCTGGGCCCGGTGATCACCGTCGCTGGGTGGCAGCACTGTGGTGGGCGTGGCCCCGTTCGTACTGACAGGCGTGTTCTCATCCACGATGCAGCTGAGTGGCCGGCCAGGGCTGGAGTACTCTGACGCAGGCCTGAGAGCAGCAAGAGGGAGCAATCGCAGAAAAGATCGAGATGAAAAAAGTGGCTAGGTGATGATAAATCAGTCTGAGAAAATTAAGACAGAACGACAGAAAGTATGTGAGGATTTAAAGGAGGAAGATGTTTTCCCCAACACACATACAGCAGCAAATCAATTGGCAAGATTTATAAAGTCTTAACGCATTAAACTAGGAAATCCATGCAAGGCAGCACAGAGACAACCGTCTTTCGAACACTGAGAGAGACTGCCTGAGGTGAAGAATGGTAAGAACTGAGCAATGAATAGAGAAGAGGCTGATAAGGACAGTGAAAGGAACAAGCAGAAAGGACGGGGGCAGAAGAGATGCCTCTGTTTCCACTCGTCAGCTCCTCCACATCGTGAAACACAACTGACTGGACCATTGTGTCGCACTGAGGTCAGAGAGGAGGTCCTCCGTCGGTCCTGTTGCTGTTTGAGTTAAAAGACGTCTGGGTTTGAGTTTCTGTGGGCCACAGAATGTACTCACCTGGTAGGCCTCTCCCACTGCGTGGTGCGTGTGATGTGGTTCAAGTACTGGATTCGTCCAGACGCAGTCCTCCTCTCCTCCCATCTGGCAGCAGAAACGCACACAGACACAGCAGTGAGCGGACATGGTTAAGTAGCCACAGAACCATCGAGTATTCTGGCTGCCGTCTCGCCACATGCAAATATCATATTCCTTACATCTTTACCCCTGAAGTCGGCTTATTTTTTTTGTTTTTTTTTTGTTTAGGATTTGCAACAGCCTATAAAAAAATCCTCCTGAGATGATAAGAGATTTCCCCCAACTCACTCACCCATCTGGAAGATCATTGTCAAACAGCCGACTGCAGTCCACCACAGGGCCTCCCGTGCCTATCCGGTCCCTAGACTGCAGGCTCACTGCAGCAACACATGGTAGACAGATGCACACACTGGGATTACTAGACAGCAGATTACTGTGCACTGTGTGCAGGCAGAGATATTTTATTGTAGCACAAAACTCAGCTATATATCTTTATGAGTAACAGGAATAGGGTTAAATGTTTTATCGGCACCTCTTTTTTTTTTCTTCCTTCTGTAAGGAGAGTCGGATAAAATAGTATTACAGAATTTTATTCTTTTTATTTGACCCAAAGACTACAAATGTAGCTTGAACACAATTTGGGTGATTAGAGCTGAAAGGAATTCACATTTATATTGTCGTAATAACATTTAAGAATATCCTCCAATATATTCTATGCATCATCTTGCAAAAAGACTAAACACGGAAGGTCGTGGCAAGCTCATTGATTAGTACGAGAGCTGCCCCAGTAAACGATAAAGGATGAGGAGGTATCACCTCCCTCGTTAGTAAAACACCTTTAATGATATCACAGTACACAGTGAATGAAGTACAACATGCTGTTAGGTCAGGGGAAAATACTCTAGTTGTAGTTATTTGATATTTCTGCAACTTCCATTTGATTTATGATTGAAAGAGACTATTTTTTGCAAATCATTTGGGCCATCACATCCTCGTCTGAACCCTTGTTTTTGTGTCTTTGTGAACTCACCCACGATCTGGCCTCTGACTGTGTCACTGTCGTTGGGACTCAGCTTGTTCAAGTCTAGTCTCTGGTCTGTTCGGGAGATGACAGAAAAAGGAAGAGAGCAAGGAAAAGAAAAAAAAAGAAGAAAAACAGGAAAGGAGAATGAAGATGAAAGAAAGAGAAGCGGGGGAGAAAATAAAGAGAAAAGAAGATTCATTAGTTTCTGAGAAATGTACGTAAACTAGCATGTGCTGTATTTCTTCCTCGATGGATAAGTCCCATTGCTGTGTATCATTTACATCCCTGAGAGTCCATTCCTCTCTCCCTCATTATCTGTCTCTCATTCTTCTGCCTGCAGACCACAGCTTGGCTTTGCCCTGGAACAGATGGTCTGGTCTGTGGAACAGCCACGGGCTGTAAAAATCTCACTGAGCATCGGTACAGAGCGGGCTTCAGTTCAAATGCAGAGGTCAAACATTTGACAAATTTCAGTACAAAGCCCGCACTATTCCACTCAGTCTTAGCATGGACATGAACTACTGCCAAAGTCTGGAAACTCTTTGTCTGAACTTCTTAAAGTCTGTGGAATTTGAGAGTGAGGGAGAAAGAGAGAGATCAGGCGGAAAGAAAGGAAGAAAGAAAAAAAAACTGACGAAAAAAAAATATATATCCAAGTTGCCTGCAGACATGAGAAATGCCACTATCTGCTCTCTGTTGTCTGGGTGTCATGCAGATCAGCTCAGGATGTCTGTCTAGACTAAACAGGGACCAAAACAGGCAACGGTCAAACCGTTACAAGGCTGGCCAGAGGTCAGCAGCCACAGAGAAAACAGAGAGCGCACACAGTAAAAACAAAGTTCGCAGAGAAGCGCACTCGTACATTGAAAGTGTAAACATCTATATACTCGCTCGGTCGTATACACAAAGAGAAGAAAACACAGAAACTCAGCAATTACACATAAACATTGCAGTCAACCTAAGACACTAAAATTATACACAAATGTTAATTGTCAACCCCGGTTCCCTCTCCAAGACATGCAGCGAAGACAAAACTGCAACTGCTGGTAAATACACACACACAAAAAAACAAAAGAATGAGAAATACACAGAGGGGGAGAGACCACAACAGAGAGAGCACAACAAATCTGCACTCACACTTAAATAGCTGTACAATTATGCATGTCTGCGTGAAATGACCGGCTGTCTAGATCGGCAGACGGAGATAGAGGGAGGTTAGTCACAATGGCATTTTGTGTTCGTGTGCGCACACACACTGCCAGTCTATGGAGGAGACCGAAACTGAGGGGTGAGGAGGAGGCCAGGAGAGGAAATGCATAGGCAAACCACTCACAGCTGTGGCACAAGATTCAGGTTTCCTGTGTCGCTCCGGGAGAACAACAGTGTCAGGGGCTTCTAGGAAAAGCGGCGGGATTCTTTCCCGTTGCTGCCCACGAGGCCACGTTCCGCAGCGAGCGGGTAACGGCTCACCGCGCAGGGAGATCACTTTGGACCGCTCTGCTAAAGCGACAACTGTCTGGCATTGCTTTTTTTTACTAAGAGTTATTTCCTAAAGTCTCAATGTCATTTATCCAGTTAGCTTCTGACATGAGACGTTTTTACTGTAATTACAGGGTGATGGTGATTGGCCCTTCCTGTTCTGGTAGAGGCAGAGTGTTGACCCCTCTCACACCCTGGTCTGGCCTCTGTCAGTCCCAGTGAGGCAGACAGGACATTAAAAGGAGCGACTCCGTGTTCCATCACTGAGCTCTGACAGTCGCACTGTGTTATTAACCTCTGCTTCTTATCACACCACAGGTAAAAGTCTGCCTTGATGGATGCAGCTACATTTTTACATCAGGGCTGCGGCATGTCACATTGCTCCGTACCCAAAATTTGAAAGTGAAGTATCCTCCCCAGTGAACGAATTCACACAAACAGCTCACAAAGAAAAACATAAATGTCGAGAACAGTTTGGCAACAATATCTGTGCTGTGGATGTGCTGCAATTTATTAAATCAAATACTGCATTGCAGCCGCCTGCATTCTGCTCTGTGCAATAAAACAATAAAAGTGCACAAACAAATTTGTGTCAACATTTATTTATCGCATTATTCGCTCTTATAAAATGGCACAATGGAGTCATGTTTTCATGAGTGGGTCCTTATTTGAGGATGCACGTCGAACAGGAGGCAATAAAATCAATGAGCCACATGGACTGTGATTGTAGGATGCAACAGTAAAGTCACTTACAGCCTGTATCTTTAAGGCGGTTGATGGCGTTGGACAGAAGGCGGACACAGCCCAGGAACCCAGCCCCTTGCTTCTTGTGAATCTTCTTGTGATTCCACACACTGATCGTGATGGAGTCTGATTTTCCAATGTATCTGAGGGGAACAAATAAAATCAAGACGTGATTAATATTCAGTGACGTGAATGGACACCAAGAGAATCACAGACAGTTTTAATAAACGGCATCTGAATTACAGTTTTGGTGATATAATCTCTTCTGCTGGTGTTGTGAACATGTAACACGGTTGGCAAGAGTCTCAGTCAGGATGTCCCCAACAATGCAGGAAGACAGATCCAAGACAAGAGGCTGCAGCTAAGTCGCCCATCAAGGACACATTATGAGACACAGTGGGAAATAGAGGGGGGGGGGGGGGGGGGAGGAAGGATGGCGAGTCAAAAAGGGATTTTCCAGCCAGTAAATCTGATCCTGAGAGTTGGAGGGTCTGCGACAGAACCCCGTAAGCAGACTGTGATCCTGTGAATAATTTATAGCGTTAACAGACCCTCAGCCCCCTTTGGTTTGAACATAATTCATTAACACGTCTGCTGCACCATTTCTCCAGAATAAATGGAAAGAAAAGGAAAGATGGCCAGCTTGATTTAACCAGCTATTGATTAATAATTAAGTAATTAGGACTGAGCAGTCATCAGTTTCACTGTCAAACGCAGACAAGCTGTAATTTAGTTTTTATAAATTGAGGGTTGTTTGCCTCTAAGTAAATTAATTTAAAAAAAACTAGTTTCAGAGAAATATTGAAACTTCACATAAATATATGAGGCGCATGCATGGATATCACACTCCACGTTACATGAAGTTCTTTTTATCAACTGAAGAAAGTTGCATAAATTGAGAGACAAATAACTGATCGCAAACCGAAGTCCGTCCATCCAAGCATGGGGGATTCCGAGACGTTCCCAGGGCAGATGGGATATATCGTCTCTCCAGCAAGTTCTGAGGTCTACCCCCTGGTTTCCTCCTGGTCGGGCGTGGCCGTTAAACCTCTAGAGGAAGGTGCCCAGGAGGCTTCCTGACTAGACGCCCAAACCACCTCAGCTGCCCCCATTCGACATGGAGGAGGAGCAATTTCCGAGCTCCCTCAAGATGTCAGGTTCAAACCATCCAAACCAAAGTATTGGACAATTTGTTTTTGACTTAGGTGTTGGTGGTGCTGGATGAATAGTGATCACAACTCATAAGTAGTAATCATATTTTACACAAACTGCCAAACATGTCGGGGATGAGGTACAGCTAGATAAAGACCGATTATTTCCCCGACTGTCTGCCATCTTCTCCGCTTCTCCTCGTTTGTCAGGCGAGACCAAGGGTGTGATAAAATCTCACCCATGTGAACCTGTCGCGGTACATCTCCTCGGGTGGGCTCCCTCCTTCAGTCAGAAACTAATCATCTGTGCGATTCACAGAACGGCATCCCACTGTAATTATCATGCTGCTTACCAAAAGGGATATGAAACAAAGGGGCTGTGAGTAAGATGTCTGGACATTTTGAGTCCGTGCCAAATGCCTGTCTGGGGTGCAATGTGAGAGAGCTGCTATGTCAGACAGACATGACGGGAGGGAAGTATTATAACCAAACCCTAGTCATCTGGATCACCCTCCATGTAATAAAATTCATTAGTCTGGCTGAGATTTTTAATACCAGTCATAGGCAATAACACACATACACTCACACAAAAACACACAGACAATGGGAAAACTGTAATAAAAGGAAAAGGCAGCAGATTTAAAGAGGCAGATGTGCTTTCTAAATACGTCTTTTTACTTGGCAGACTGTATTCAAACTATTTTTCAATAGATTTTTTTTCCTGTTACCGCCAAGGACATATGTTCAAAGTAAAAGAAAAAAGCTCACAGCAAGACTAAAGTCACAATCTTGAGATACACAGACCCACTAATAAGATTTAAAAGTAAGGACTGGAACCAGCTGTTGCTCTCAAATGGATCTGCACATGTTTTGATACGTGGACTTAAGACTTGTGAATTGAATCAGATTTTGGATGCTGTTAAAAAGTAAACTATGTAAAACAGTGATTCCCAACCATGGGACACATGCACTGCACTAAGCACTAGGTCTTAACAGTAGGTTAGAGTTTATGATATATACGACCAATTGAATGTATGGTTAATGTTTGCATGCAAAAAGAAATCAGGGGGCAGGTTTTGTGTTGTTGCCGTTACAGGATAATTTGTTGGAAACTTCCAAAAGCCGGCTAAAAAGCTTGAACCTGGCTCAACCAAAAGTGTAAATGGTGGGAACAGTGAAACTAATGTATAAATGGGTTGCAGTTCAATTGCATGAGGAAATTACTGTTGAAATTTGACTTGTATTGATGACGTCATTAGCAGCTTTAATACACTAGGCTGTATTCAGAACACCAGGTGTTTCAGGCCTTATTTTAATAAGCCAGACAGATTTCTAGGCTGCTCCGAGTCAATTAAAACCCGTCTCCTCGAATACGTCGCCTCGGAGTCCTGCTGGCCATGAGGATAAACACTGACACACAGTAAAATGAATACAGCGATGGTAAACTTATCACTGGCACAGAAACACGAGTCATTTTCACATAAACTCCACTCAGCTGTGTCTGAAGGCTCTGGGGACGAATAACACGGAGAAGCTGCGCCTCTCCTCTCCTCTCTCTCTCCATATTTAAGGTGTGCGTATGTGCACATGACTTTTTTTCCCTCGTGTCAGATGTGACATGAGCAGCTAATTCAACAGCCATGTAGAGAGAGGGTTCCTGTATCCCCAGCAACCAAACAAACGGAGACATGTGCTTCCTCTTGCTGTTGGCTAAGCATCACAGTTTGGATAAACACCGGGGCGAATACTGGAAACTTTCACTCTCACATTTTCACTCACGCGCTCTCTCTCTTATTTTTTCCAGGTTACTTGTGCAAGACAAACCATCTTTGGGAAAGAGGCAATCAGGGTTCAACAAGACATGCACGTGTTTCAGTCGATGGAAGAAAATACTATTGGAGACGCCCCCGCCTTTTCAGTGCTTTGAATCCTGTTCCAAGGGACATTTTTAGACTGTTTGCTGGCGCTGGAGGGTTATGTCATTACACAATATCTAGATATGGGGCCAGATGCAACGGCTGTTTACATCTGTTACTGTTCAGGTCCTGCTAATGGCACCGTCCTGACACGTCTCAGCGTGCTCACTTATCAAGGTTAAATAAAGAAAGACATAAAAACTGTGAGGCTTTGGAACAGACGAAGCATTGCCTCGAACTGCTGTTTGTAATCAGATTATGCCTTTAGGTGGGTCGGAGGTATTCAAATAAACCGAGAAGGAATCCGACTTTTTTCTCTCTCTCTCTAAAAACAGATGCAAGAAACGACTACGTGGGAAGAATCATTCAAATGTTCAGGGACTCACAGGTCATAGTGTTGATTCCACTTGGGGTCAAGTGTGTTCCTCACAGTGTCTGTCGAGTGGCATTGCCCTGAGCCGTCCACGACCACTTTGGCAAAGGGATCAGGGAGGCCTGCAGAGAGACACACACGCACACAGTGACTTAGCCACATTGACCTGGAGCACATGATAACAGACGTTTGCACAATACGTAGATGAAAACGTTACACTGCAGCGTTAGCTCACTACCCGGCAGACGGATATAAATACAACTGGCACAGATGGTGTGTTGTCTGCAAAGCGTTGGAACTTGCCCAGACTCACAGATTACTCATTATTTACTTTAGCAAACTTTTTTCGTCTTTTGATGCCAAATGAGGTCCTGAGGCAATCGGGGAATTTCAAGTTTGATGAGTAGTTATTTTAGTAAATTATCGGGAAAATGTCTCCAGAATATTGGAAACAGACACAATTATACAAGACCTGACTTATTAATACAAAACATTAACAGGAATGAACTGACTAAACAAACGCTCATAGCTGCAAACATGTTTAAGTGGTTGGAGCATGCACAATAACGCCATTTTCAGAAATGAACTCTGGAGAATGTCTGCACAATTGGGTCCAGTCCCTCTCTCTGGAGTTATCCTTTCACATATGAATAATGCAGAAGGAAATTCTCCAGTCAGATGTGTTCAAAACAACACAGAAATCTCTGGAAAATTAAATGCGGAGAGAAAGATGACATCTTTGTTAGTGTCTTCTGTTTTCTTGGCTCCTCTTTTTCATCTTGAAATATTTTCATTCTTTTAGTTTTTTTTTTTTTTTTTGCAGTTTGGCATCTGTTGCGTGTTAAAACTTCAACGCGCTTTTCAACACTGTTCTGGATAATCTTCTGCTGTATTCTCACCTGGGCCCATTTGGACATTTCTCCAGATTGTGAAGTTCAGTGCAGGTCTGAAAGCAGCTTTACAGACACAAAAACGTGTCAGCAACATGCAAGAAGACAAAAACGGAAAAAAAGCGCCATATAGCTTTAGTTCATAAATCAAGACAGATGTATTTTATCTATGGTTTCTGTGCAGCTCTACACTGGCTCCCTAACGGAGTGTTTGCTCAGCTCCTGAGTGTTGGAATGGCAGGAATGGGCACCACAGAAACCACCTGAGTGAGCAGAGGACCTTTACATGCTCATTCACCATGACAGCCTGACCCAAACACACCAAAACACTCATAACACTACAGACACCTACATATGACCCATTCGAGTCCTCGGTGGACAGAATGCACTGGCTAACTTATGCTAAGTGGATGTGGAAAAGTTGACAGGATTGTCTGTGTATTTATGGTATTTCAGTGAGGTTATTCTAGACACATTAAATAAGGATTCACACTTGAGTCGGCATCTCTGTGTTGAAAGTGACGGGGCACTAAGTGGACAAGACTTTCCAAATGCCGAGGACATATGAGGTAAACTATTTACATCTGCTGAAATTAGTATACAAGCAGACCGTGTGTGGTGCTAAGAGGAAAAATGCCCCAAATTTCTCTATCTCAACAAGATTTTTACAGTGCATGCATAATGTATCTACAAACCCCAAAAGGGAAAAGAGGGTGTGAAAGGTGTGAGATACTTACGGAAGAAGTCCTTCTTCACCAGGTTTTTGGCGCAGAGGACTGAAAGAGAGAAAGAGTCGAGGGTTAATATAAATGAAACACCTGAAAATCACTTTTTAAATTCATACGCACATGTTTGAAAAGTGGCAGGAATGTGCAGCAGGGAAATGATTTGTCAAACGCTGGGAAAACGCTGCCGAGAACAACCTGAGTCAAACACAAGCCGACTTTGGTATAGACGACACAAACCCTCTCCTGCCCACAATTGCATGTTTGTAGCACAGAATGCCAACAACCTATGTCAAAACACCTGGCAAACAACAGCAATGGAAACAAATCCTTCGCGGAAAGTTTAAAACTGAGGATTTAGAGTAATTAACAGTCGCATTAGTTGTGTCATTAGTACAGAAAACCAGCCTTCCTGCAGCACGGAGGCTGATCCTGTCGCTCCACTCCGGGAGCCACTGAGGCGGTTGCTGAGGCGATGAGGCAGGGCCACTTACACCCTCATCCTGTACGTGTGTGGATGGATGAGGAAGCTCAGAAACCACCTGGGTGTCTGGAGCTGAGAGCTACAGCCAGTGAGTCAGGCACATGGAAATACAGTTTTGGCTTAGCTTACATCTGTGTTACCGTTTAGCGAGGAACAAACGCTAATTGGTCTGAACACTATTGCGTTTGATCCTTTAGGCCGATCAGGGATCAGGAAATAATAAATGGCAATATTGTTATATTTGCTTTTGCCAATGAGGTTATGTTTTCACCCAGGTCTGTGTATTTTGGTGGAAAGATGTGCTATGGGATCAGGGAAGAACACAAATCTGGAAATTAACATTCTTTATATTGGAAACATTACTGAACTGAGCAATTAATTGTTAATCTATGACGTGATCAGCAGATTAATCAATAACTGAGGCTCTAAAGTCTATATTTTGGGAGTAGGATGAAATGCAACACTGCCACTGCTCCACTAGGATAAGATATTAAATTACTTCCTGGTCTAAAGATAGCAGTTTCAATGTGAATGCGATCACGCTGCCAGTTATTTCAGCTAATTTCAAACCAGCTCCAGGGCCGGCTTTACATGTCAAACCAATAATCAATTTAAAGATAAATGACTGATGGAAACTGATTATCAATTCGAGTAATTCTCATCTGTGCATTAAACCTCCTGGAGGATCGGCTGCGGAGTTTATGTCATGTCTGGAAATGGCTAAATGGACAAAGGCACACCCCTAGTGGCAGACTGCTGCTGAAGCCATCCAATACGCAGCAGTCGTCTATTCATCAACCCCTCCCCCCACCCCCACCCCGACCCAATCCCATGCCGCACATACTCAGACACACAACCACACCATGTCAAATATCACCCTGAATTACTTTGGGCTGAGCTGAAACACTTTTGCCCACCAGGAAACGGAGGGTGGAGGACGTACCTTCTAAGAGACGAGTGTGGACAAAATTAAATACACAAATCACCAGCTTCGCACACCAACTTCTACACATGCATGGTGTTTACAGCTGCGCAGGGGACAGCCACACACACACACACACAGGGCTGCGGATTTAATGACAAGAACCCCATTAGGAGACAGAGAGAGAAGTGAAAACAGACGACAAAAATTGGATGCATACCCTCCTGGGGGGCGAGGGGGGGTGAAGAACATGCTCGACAGATGAGGAAGAATTTCTTTCCGCAAACATCCCTGAGAATGTGTTACGTTCCAGCGAAACCCACCTCATCTCTAAAACATCTGGTATGCATCGCTTTCGGTCGCACTCCCATGAACACACAAGTGAACATGTGCCCACACACACACACACACACTTGGAGGCTTTGACGCAGATGAAAAAGGTGGAGTGAGGTAACAGGTGATAGTTTTTTCTTTTTGTGTTTCCACAAAGCATCTGCCCACACGCCACAGACAAACTTGTGTGTAATGCGAAAAAAGGCCTCGACAGGGATCTGATGATGTTTCCAGAGGGGAAAGAACATCAAGCGCGACTGTTCCCTGGGTCGTTAAGTCACAACGCAATTAATCCATGTGAGGTAAGAGAAAAAAATAGGGAAATACTTTCTCTCGAGCGAGGTGAGGCAGGAGCAAACAAAACCTGCAATCACAATTCAGACAGAAACAAAGAAATGACAAAAGCTTAAGGAGGGACCGACTGCAGGGTAAGGCACGACACATCATGGCCCGTAGAACAGCCGGCTCAGCTTAAAGTTAACCAAGCTTAACCGACAGACTCTGCTGTGCATAAGCAGTACTCAGCTAGCCACACACCAGGAAGGCACCACTATTTATACATACATAGACTCCTTATGAAAACATACACGGGGCCGAATTACAGCTAAAAACAGAAAATGTACAGAAAACCACTGGAATGGTAGACGCAGGGAGACAATGGCAGCAGTGAAGCCAGAGTCTGAGGCTGCGGAGAAGGAGAGCGTGAGGACGGCAACGAGGACACAGCGGAACCCAATCATCAGAATAGAGTTGTCACTGTGAAAAAATGTAAAGACGATGCACGTGAAGTAAAGCTGAGCTGGATTTTTACAGATTTTTGTACAACAGGTAGAGAACGGTGCATATTTTTCTGGCTGTCTCTCCTCCAAGACTTTCATACCACTGCAATCACTTGTTGTGAAAATTGCCACAAAAGACAAAAAGAGAGCTGGAGAGAGAAGTTCAAACCAAGGGCGCATTCTCACCTCCCCACAGCTCGCCAATCACTTCAGATCGCTGCTTGCAGAAAGTTATGGAGTAGACTTATCCCTCTGAAGGACAGACGTGTACATTTGAGCAAGTTTTAGATAATAAAAGCAGAAACAGTCTCAGCCTTAATTTATGGAGCAAAGGTACTTGCACTTGTCAATAACGAGTGACAACTTCCGTTTGTAGGACAAACTTTATTCATCAGGCATATTTGCATATTTTCTTTTTACGGTTTTACAGCAGGCTGTGGCTCCAACTATCCGTACATTTTTTCTTTGCTTCACTACAGCATAGTGAAAAAAGGACGAACCATAAAAGTTAATTAAAATGTCTAAACCTCGACCGAGAAGGTGCAAGTCATTCCTTATTAACTGCTGTCATGGCAGAACCACTGGAAAGATGATTGATATTGGGGCCAGAAGAGATTTTTTCAATGATATTTAAACCAGGAGCACGTTTCCTCCGACGAGCCAGGTTTCCATCCAAATCTACTTCAAAACTCGGCCAAAGAAAATCAGCAAAAAGAAATGTGCAACACCGCTGCGTTGATATAATCTGTTGCTTCACTGGTGGTAAGTGATGCTACTTTACTACTGATGACTATATCAACCTGTGATCAGTCCGAACCATAGCTAGCTAGTTCAAATGTGAAAGGATGCATTACTTTCTACTCTTTAATCAAACAAACTGGCATTAAATTCATTTCCAGTGCACTGCTGCACAAGGTGATAAGTCACGTTTGCCCACCACCCCACAGAAAACACCCATAATTGATGCCGTTATGGGAAATAGAGTCGTGATTACAGAAGCCTTTCCCGAGAAAGGGAAGTGGGCGAGCTTGCACCTACAGGGCAGTATCGTAAATCTGTTGTTTTATTGGTCACCCTGGACCGTCTTTTTCATGCTCACACACAGACAAACGTAATTATGAGCTGGTACATAAAGAAGGAAGCAACACACACACGCACACTGAGCCCTGCAATATGATGGACACATACTCACTGTCCTAGGTTTAAAAGAAATGCTGGAAAAAAAAAAGTAGAAACATTAGAAGCTTATTTCAGATGCCAGCTAGAATCACATCATTATTATTCCATGGCTGTTCTGTACAGAGTGCTGTTTTTTAAGGGAGTGACAATATTTTCTAAAACCACATAATGGAGCGGGTTGCCAGTGTTAATATGGGGTGAGGGGTCAGACAGGCCAAGTTCAGAAATTGAATCAGAACTTTAGTTTTTCCTTCAGTAAAAACCTACAGAGAAGTTAATTCATAATTCCTCGGTGTGTTCATGGGCGGATAACTACACTGTGAACGAAAAACCTCTCTGCCTGCCCGTAAATAATTCTGCCAGCCCTTCTTTAAAAAGACCATCACAGGGGTGCAACAACATGTTATGGCACAATATTTCAAAAGAGAAAAATGCGACAATATACATCAGAAACTCAATAATGCACGGCTATATCAACTAAATCCTGTGGAGTTTTGGCAGATAAGTTATTGTCCTTGGTGGGAAATATAAAAAGTGTTTCTCTGAACATGTTTTATTTGGGTGTTGGCCTGGAAAACTAAAACGTGCTCCATCAAAGTTCTCACATTTAGTCAAAAACGTTCAGTGAGATTCTTAATTAGTATTGAGCCGCAATTTGCATTATTGGTTAAACTGTCCTTTAGATTCTGATGTTTGTCTATGAAATTAAAGACAATATAAATAATTTACCAGACTCCATTTTCCATCATAGAGAGCAACAATTCTAAAAAGCCAGCTTACTAAAGTAGTTGCTAATTAATAGATGTCTACATTTGTCATTTTTCATATGTATTTTGAGCCGAAAATATGAGAAAGAACAATGAAGACAATTTAGTTTGAAAACGCATCAACTCTGCCACGGATGCGCCTGGGTCCACGCTGCTCAAGAGTTTAAGAGAGGTTTGAAAACACTGCTGGCTCCATTATAGTTTGAAAAGTCCAGGGCTGCATTTAAGTCTGGACAGGCAGAAATTGAGATGGTTGGAAACAATGATGTAGACACTAACAACCTGTGTTTTCGGTCACAACATAGCCGTCCCTGTAAGGCTGCTAACTCACGACACCCTTATGGAAGAAATCAATCAGCGTTAGCCTCAGCTACCAGTGTAGAACGCAACACGGATGATCAATTATAAGTGTTGAAAACCCCATTTTCAAATGAAAATATAGTTCTGCCTTGAGATTTAGTATTTGACCAACAAGTTTTAAGCACATAAAGAAAAAATAAGGAACTTTTCTGCCATAGTGTTGTGTTCAGTGGATTAAAACCATCACACGTGGGACTAAACCACGAGATGGACACTGACCAACGTGT